GGCTTGAGCCACCGCGCCCGGCCGTCATGTTTTTGTTTTTTTGAGACATGGTTACACTTTTGTTGCCCAGGCCATCGTACAATGGCACCGTGTCAGCTCACTGCAGCCTCCACCTCCCAGGTTCAAGCTACTCTCCTGCATCAGCCTCCCTAGTAGCTGAGATTTCAGGTGTGCGCCACCACACCCGCCTAATTTTGTATTTTTAGTAGAGACAGGGTTTCACCATGTTAGCCAGGCTGGTCTCGAACCCCTGGCCTTTGGTAATCGGCCCGCTGCGGCATCCTAAAGTGCTGGGATTACAGGCATGAGCCACAGCATAATTACATGCAGTTATATTACATGTAATATAATTTTGTGCACACAAAATACTTTTCTATAGACGGAGAATACTCATATCACCTTGGGGATATTTTTATTTGTGTGCTTTTTTGGATTTTTTTTCTTTTCTTTTCTTTTCTTTTTTTGAGACAAGGTCTGGCCCTTTTGCTGAGGTGGGAGTGTGGTGGTGCAATCTCGGCTCACTGCAACCTCCACCTCCCACCTCAGCCTCCTGAGTAGCTGTCTGCAGGCATGCACCACCACACCTGGCTAACTGATAATTTTTGTACAGATGAGGATTCACCGTGTTGGCCAGGCTGGTCTCAAACTCCTGGCTCAAGTGATCCTCTCAAATTTTATTGCTGTTTTCTAGAAATCTAGCCCAATCCTCTTGGTTAAATGTAAGGTATGTCTAGGAGGCATTACTTTTTCTCTTTGGAGGCAAAACTTAGGAGGATTGCCCCTTGATGAATAAGGCTAACCTGCTGAGTCTATGAAGCAAGGAACTGGAGATGGTCCTTTCAGGGGATTATGTTCTGGATTCCAGGAGACATGCAAACAGGGCCAATAAATGCATCTTTCTTTCTGTGTCCAGTTTAACCTGGTCAAGGGAAATTCCAACAAAAATCCCAGAGTGCTTGGGCAAGAAGATCTCATGCAGTGATTCTCCAATGGGAAGCACTCCTTGTTGTCTGAAATAAAACAAAGTGCTTCCTTTTAGAGAGTTATTGTTTGAGGAAAACCATGTTGAAGATGATGCTGATCTTGGTAATATATTTGAAGAGCATGCTTATAATCAGACTTGCATGTTGTCGGGTTTTGCTTTTGTTTAGATTTTTTCCAACACAGGGTGTCTGTTGCCCCAGCTGGAGTGCAGTGGCACTTCCAAGTTAGATCTCTTGGGCTCAAGTGGCCACCTCCACTCCCTCGCTGTTTTGTTTTGTTTTTTTTCCAAGAGGCAGCTCTGTGACTCAGTCTGGAGGGCAGTGGCACATTCTCTGCTCACTGCAGCCTCTGCCTCCTCAGTAGTTGGCATGACAACCGTGCACCACCACGCTTGGCTAGTTTTTTTTTTTTTTTTTTTTTTTTTTTTAAAGATGGCATTTCACCATGATGGCCAGGCTGGTCTTGAACTCCCGACCTCAGGTGATCCACTCACCTCAGCCTCCCGAAGTGCTAGGATTACAGGCATGAGCCACCGCGCCTGGCTTCATGCTCGGCTATTTTTTTGTATTTTTAGCAGTGACGGAGTTTGACCATATTGTTCAGGTTAGTCGCAAACTCTGGACCTCAGGTGATGCACCCGCCTCGGCATCCCGAAGTCCTGGGATTACAGGTGTGAGCCACCTCACCTGCCTCCAATTTTTTCTTTTATGTGTGCTGCCAAACCAAGTACTTACGTGAAGGAATTTTTTTTCATGGAAGAATACAATATATGGACTTTTTTTTTTCAGACAGAGTCTCAAAAATATATAATGTATAGTTTATCATATATGCTTATCATATGTAATATAGTCATATACTCACATAACCCTCTCGCACACACAGAGAATACTTTTATGTCACTTTGGATATTTTTTTGTTCGTTAGTTTGTGTGGTTTGGTTTTGTTTGGTGACAGGTCTGGCTCTGTCACCCAGGCTGCAGTGCATTGGTGCCATCTCAGCTTGCTGCAACCTCCACCTGCCACCTCAGCCTTCTGAGTCACCGTCTACAGGCGCGCAACGCCACACCCAGCTACCTTTTGTGTTTTTTGTACGCAACTTTTACCATGTTGCCCATGCTGGTGTCGAACTCCTGAGCTCAAGCAAGCTTCCTGCCTTGGCCTTCTAAATTGCTGGGTTTAGTGGTGTGAGCCACCACACCCCACCTGTACTTACGTATTTCTGCTCAAATTTCATTGAGGAGCTTATACAGTGTAGCCTGGGGTCCTATCCTGGAGGATGTCTGTGTGTGTGACAATATATATTCTTCAACATCTTAGATTCCATTTTGGATGCTGGCGTCGGGACTGTGCGTGTCGCTGTACTGGAACTCAGGTGCATACTTGGCTCCACATCTGTTGCTGTTCTCTGGGAGTCCTGTCCAGCTCTCTTGGGTAAAGATAAGGTATGTGTAGTAGGCATTGGTTTTTTCTCTTTGGGAACACGACTCAGGAGAATTGCCCCTTGGTGAACAAAGCTACCTGTTGAGCCTTTGAAGCAAGGAACGGGAGATGGTCCTTTTAAGGATTTATGTTCTGGGTTCCAGAAAGCATGCAAACAGGGCCAATGAATGTGTCTTTATTTTTGTGGCCATTTTAACCTGGTCAAGAAAAATTCCAACAAAACATCCACAGTGCTGAAGCAAGAGGATGTCAGGCTGTGACTCTCTAGAGGGAAGTGCTGTCTGCTGTCTGAAGGAAAAGAAAGTGCTTCCTTTTAAACGGTTACTGTTTGAGAAAAGCAGCGTTGAAGTTGATGCCCATCTTGGTAACACATTTGCAGAGTATGCTTCTCCTGAAACCTGGATGATGGTGGGGTTTTGCTTTTGTTTGGTTTTGTTTTATTCCAAGACAGGGTCTCTGTTGCCCAGGCTAGAGTGGGTGGTGGTTCTAAGCGAGCTCTTGGGCTCAAGTGGTCATCTTGTGTTTTTGACAGGGAGTCTCACTCTTTCCCTCAGGCTTCAATGCAGTGGCGCTATCTCAGTTCACTTCCGTCTGACCACGACTTTGTTTTATTTGAGATAGGATCTCAAAAATAAATGATGTGGGCCTGAAGCAGTTGGATCACAAGGTCGGAAGATCGAGACCACCCTGGCTAATACAGTGAAACCCCATCGCTACTAAAAATACAAATAAATAAATACATAAATAAATAAGCTGGGCGTGGTGGTGCATGCCTGTAATCCCAGCTACTCCAGAGGCTGAGGCAGGAGAATCACTTGAACCTGGGAGGCGGAGGTTGCATTGAGCCGAGATGACGCCACTGCAGTCCAGCCTGGGCAACAAAGCAAGACTCTGTCTCAAAAAAAAAAAAAAAAAGAAAAAAACTAAACTAAAAATATAAATACATTATGCACATTTGATCATATAATCTCATCATATATAATTCTATACACACAAAATCCTTTTCTACACACAGAGAATACTCATATGACTTTGGGGTTATTTTTGTTTGTGTGCCTTTTTTTTTTTTTTTTTTTTTGAGGCAAGGTCTGGCCTGTTGCCCAGTCAGGTGTGTGGTATTGTGATACCAGATCACTGCAATCTCCACCTCCCACCTCAGCCTCCTGAATAGCTGTCTGCAGGCAGGCACCACCACACCTGGCTACCTTTTGTATTTTATGTACAGATGTGGTTTCATCATGTTGACCCGGAGGGTCTCCATCTATCGACCTCATGATCTGCCCATCTTGGCCTTTTAAAAACCGTGATCTTCAACATGGTTTTTCTCAAACAATAACTCTCCGAAAGCAACTAGAGAGTTGGGATTACAGGCATGAGCCTCCGTGCCTGGCCAGATTTTTTTGTATTTTTAGTAGAGATGAGCTTTTGCCATGTTGGCCAGGCTGGTTTAGGGCTTCTGACTTCAGGTGATCTCTCTGCCTCTGCCTTCAAAAATACTGAAATTACAGGCAGGAGCCACCACGCCTGGCCTTTTGTATTTCTCTTCAAAATTTATACAGGAGCTTTTACGGCATAGCCTGTGGTCTATACTGAAGGATGTTTGTGTGTACAATAATGTATATTCTTCAACATGTTGGATTCCATTTTGGATGCCTCCATAAGGACTGTGTGTCCCTGTGCTGGAACTCTAGTGAACACTTGGCTCAAAATCCACTGCTCTTCTCTAGAAATCCAGCCAATGCTCATGGTCAAGTATAAGGTGTGTCTAATAGACATTGCTTTTTCTTTTTGGGAGCAAAGGTCAGGAGGATTGCCCTTTGGTGAGCAGGGCTTAACCTGCTGAGCCTTGAGGCAAAGAATTGGAGATGGTTCTTTTAGGGGTCTGTATTCTGGATTCCAGAAAATGTGCAAACAGGAAAAATAAATGCGTCTTTATTTTTGCGTCCTTTTTAACCTGGTCAAGGAACATTCCAACAAAAAAGTGCTGGAGCAAGAAGATCTCAAGCTGTGACCCTCTAGAGGGAAGCGCGTTCTGTATTCTGAAAAAAAAGAACTCGTATCCTTCTAGAGTGTTACCGTTTGGGAAAGCAGCGTTGAAGTGGATGCTGATCTTGGTAATACATTTGCAGAGCGTGCTTACAGTCAGACTTGGATGACGTTGGGGTTCTGTGTTCATCTTTTTCCAAGGCAGGGTCTCCTGAACTCAAGTTATTTTCTTTTATTTATTTATTTATTTTTAAAATAAGGGGCCGGGCACAGTGGCTCAAGCCTGTAATCCCAGCACTTTGGGAGGCTGAGGCGGGTGGATCACGAGGTCGAGAGATCGAGACCATCCTGGTCAGCATGGTGAAACCCCGTCTCTACTAAAAATACAAAAACATTAGCTGGGCATGGTGGCGTGTGCCTGTAATCCCAACTACTCAGGAGGCTGAGGCAGGAGAATTGCCTGAACCCAGGAGGCAGAGGTTGCGGTGAGCTGAGATGGCGCCATTGCACTCCAGCCTGGGTAACAAGAGCGAAACTCCGTCTCAAAAAAAACAAAAACAAAAAATAAAAAAATAAAAAATAAAATAAAATAAAATAAGGAATGCTTCACGAATTTGCGTGTCATCCGTGCGCAGGGGCCATGCTAATCTCTGTATTGTTCGAATTTTAGTATATGTGCTGCCGAAGCGAGCATTTTTAATTTTTTTATTTTTTGAGATGCACTCTCACCTTATCGCCCAGCCTGTAGTGCAGTGGCAGGATCTCTGGAATACAGGCACCTGTATAACTTTTTTTTCTTTTTTTTTTTTTTCAATGGAGTCTTGCTCAATTTCCTGGGCTGGAGTGCAGTGGTGCAATCTCAGCTCACCAGAAACATCGTCACCCAGGTTGAAGCAATTCTCCTGCCTCACCCTTCCAGGTAGCTGGAATTACACGGGCACCCACCACCACACCCACCTGATTTTTATGCTTTTAGTAGAGATAGGGTTTCACTACATTGGCCAGGCTGGTCACGAGCTCCCAACCTCAGGTCATCCACCCACCTCACCCTTCCAAAGTGCTAGGATTACAGGCATGAGTCACTGTGCCTAGCCTCAAGTGGTCCTCTTGAGTCAGTGTAGACCGTGGTCTATCCTGCAGGATGTTTGTGTGTGTGACGATGTATATTCTTCAACATCTTCCATTCCATTTTGGTTGCTTCCATCAGGACTGTGTGTCCCTGTACTGGATGGAACTCAGGTGAACACTTGGCTCCACATCTATTGCCGTTCTCTAGAAATTCTGCCAAATTCTCTTGGTGAAAGGTAAGGTATGTCTAGTGGGCATTGCTTCTTCTCTTTGGGGACAAAACTCAGGAGGAGGATTGTTCCTTGACGAACAAGGCTAACCTGCTGAGCCTTTGAAGGAAGAAACTAGAGACGGTCCTTTTAGGGGTTTTTGTTCTGTATTCCGGAAAACATGCAAACAGGGCAAATGAACGCATCTTTAGTTTATGTCCATTTTAACCTGTCCAGGAAATTTCCAACAAAAACCCTAGAATGCTGGAGCAAGAAGATCTCACGCTGTGACCCTCCAAAGGGAAGTGCTTTCTGTTGTCCAAAAAAAAAAAAAAAAAAGAAAGAAAGGCCTTCCCTTTAGAGTGTTACTGTTTGAGAAAAGCAACGTTAAAGTTGTTGCAGATCTTGGTAATACAATTGCAGAGCGTGCTTATCATCAGACTTGGATGATGTTGAGGTTCTGTTTTGTTTTGGGGTGTTTTTTTTGTTTTTTTGTTTTTCTTTGAGACGGAGTTTCGCTCTTGTTACCCAGGCTGGAGTGCAATGGCGCAATCTCGGCTCACCGCAACCTCCGCCTCCTGGGTTCAGGCAATTCTCCTGCCTCAGCCTCCTGAGTAGCTGGGATGACAGGCACGCGCCACCACGCCCAGCTAATTTTTTGTATTTTTAGTAGAGACGGGGTTTCACCATGTTGACCAGGATGGTCTCGATCTCTTGGCCTCGTGATCCACCTGCCTCGGCCTCCCAAAGTGGCTGGCCTCCCGAGTAGCTGGGATTACAGGTGGCCACCACCACAGCCTGGCTAATTTTTGTATTTTCAGTAGAGACAGCATTTCACCACATTGGTCAGGCTGGCCTTGAACTCCTGACCTCAGTTTATCCAACCACCTCGACATTCTGAAGTGTTGGGATTAAAAGTGTGAGCCACCATTTTTTGAGATGACATCTTGCTCTGTTGCCAGGCTGGAGTGCAATGCCCGATCTTGGCTCACTTTGCATTTTTAGTAGTGATGAGGTTTCTCCATGTTGGCCAGGATGGTCTCCATCTCTTGACCTTGTGATCTTCCTGCCTCTGCCATTAAAAGTGCTGTGATTATGGGCATGAGCCCTGCGTTTGGCCCAACTTTTTGTATTTTTAGCTGAGATGGGCTTTCACCATGTTGACCAGGCTGGTTTCAAGCTTCTGACCTCAGGTGATATGCCCGCCTCTGCCTCCCAAAGTGCTGAAATTACAGGCATGAGGAGACACCATGCGTGTGGCCTTATGTATTCCTGTCCAAAATTTAGTGAGAAACTTTTATGGCCTAGCCTGCGGTCTATCCTGGAGGTAGTTTGTGTGTATAACAAGGCATATTCTTCAATGTCATAGATTCCATTTCAGATGCTTCCAGAAAGACTGTGTGTCCCTGTACTGGAACTCAGGTGAACACTTGGCTTAGCATCCCTTGCTGTTCTCTAGAAATCAGGCAATGCTCATGGTCAAATATAAGATATGTCTAGTGCGCATTGCTTTCTGTCACTGGGGCCAAAACTCAGGAGGATTGCCCCTCAATGAACAAGGCTAACCTGCTGAGCCTTTGAAGCAGAAACTAGAGATGGTCCTTTTACGGATTTATGTTCTCCGGTTCCAGAAAACGTGCAAACTGGGCATCTTTACTTTTTGTCCTGTTTAACCTGGTCAAGGAAAATTCCAACGAAGAACCCAGAGTGCTGACCAAGACGATCTCAAGCTGTGACCCTCTAGAGGGAAGCGCGTTCTGTATTCTGAAAGAAAAGAACTCGCAGCCCTCTAGAGTGTTACCGTTTGAGAACAGCAACGTTGAAGTGGATGCTGATCTTGGTAATACATTGGCAGAGTGTGCTTATAGTCAGACTTGGATGAGGTTGGGGTTCTGTTTATGTTTTTGTTTGTTTGTTTTTAACACGGCAGGGCCTCTTGCCCAGGCTGGAGTGGGTGGCACTTCCAGAGAGATCTCTCAACCTCCAGTGGTCCTCTTTTTATTTATTTATTTATTTTTTTATTTTTATTTTTTGAGACGGAGTTTCGCTCTTGTTACCCAGGCTGGAGTGCAATGGCGCGATGTCGGCTCACCGCAACCTCCGCCTCCTGGGTTCAAGCAATTCTCCTGCCTCAGCCTCCCGAGTAGCTGGGACTACAGGCGTGCGCCACCATGCCCAGCTAACTTTTGTATTTTTAGTAGAGACAGGGTTTCACCATGTTGACCAGGATGGTCTTGATCTCTTGACCTCATGATCCACCCGTCTCGGCCTCCCAAAGTGCTGGGATTATAGGCGTAAGGCACCGCGCCCAGCCTATTTTTTTATTTTTTGAAACGCACTGGCTCCATTACCCATGCTGGAATGTAGTGGCAGGATCTCTGCTCACCCGAAACTCCGCCTCCCAGATTCCAGCCTGCCATCACGCCCTGCTAATGTTTTCTGTTTGTTTGTGAGGAGTTTTTGCTCTTTTTACACGGGCAGGATTGCAGTGGTGCAATCTCAACTCAACACTACCTCTGCCACCCAGGTTCAAGCGATTCTCCTGCCTCAGACTCTCAGGTAAGCTTGGATTGCAGGCACCTGCCACCACACCCAGCTAGTTTTTGTGTTTTTAGTAGAGATAGGGTTTCACTACGTTGGCCATGCTGGTCTGAAACTCCTGAACTCAGGTGATCCACCTGCCTTCACCTCCCAAAATGCTGGGGTTACAGGCATCAGCCACCGCTCCTAGCCTCAGGTGGTCCTCTTGAGTCAGCCTAGACTGTGATCTATCCTGGAGGCTGGTTTGTGTGTGCGACGATGTATATTCTTCAACATCTTACATTCCATTTTGGTTTCTTCCATCAGGACTGCATGTCCCTGCGCTGGATGGAACTCAGGTGAACACTTGGCTCCACATCCATTGCTATTCTCTAGAAATTCTGCCAGATTCTCTTGGTGAAAGGTAAGGTGTGTCTAGTGGGCATTGTTTCTTCTCTTTGGGGACAAAACTCAGGAGGATTGTTCCTTGATGAACAAGGCTAACCTGCTGAGCCTTCGAGGAAAGGAACTGCAGATGGTCCTTTTAGGGGTTTCTGTTCTGCATTCCAGAAATGTACAAACAGGGCAAATAAATGCATCTGTAGTTTTGTGTCCTGTTTAACCTGGTGAAAGAAAATTCCAATAAAAAAAACCCCAGAATGCTGGAGCAAGAAGATCTCATGCTGTGGCTCTCTAAAGGGAGGTGTGTTCTGTTGTCTGAAATGAAACACACGCCGTCCCTTTGGAGCGTTGCTGCTTGAGAACAGCAACATTGAAGTTTGATGCTGATCTTGGTAATATACTTGCAGAGCATGTTTACGGACTTGGATGATGTTAGGATGCTGTTTTTGTTGTGTTTTTTTCTAAGGAAGGGTCTCTGATGCCCAGGCTGAGTGGGTGGCACTTCCAGTGAGATCTCTTGTGCACAAGTGGTGCTCTTGTTATTTTTTTTATTTTTATTTTTTTGAGACGGAGTTTTGCTCTTGTTACCCAGGCTGGAGTGCAATGGCACGATCTCGGCTCACCACAACCTCCGCCTCCTGGGTTCAGGTAATTCTCCTGCCTTAGCCTCCTGAGTAGCTGGGATTACAGGCACGTGCCACCATGCCCAGCTAGTTTTTTGTATTTTTAGTAGAGACGGGGTTTCACCATGTTGACCAGGATGGTCTCGATCTCTTGACCTCGTGATCCACCCGCCTCGGCCTCCCAAAGTGCTGGGATTACAGGCTTGAGCCACCGCGCCCGGCCTTAATTTATTCATTTATTTAGAGATGGAGCCTTGCTCTGTCACCCAGGAGGGAGTGCAGTGGCAGGATCTTGATCACTGCAACCTCTGCCTCCTGGGTTCAAGCGATTCTCCTGCTTCAGCCTCCCAAGTAGCTGGAACTACAGGCATGTGCCACCACGCCTGGCTAATTTTTTGTATTTTTAATAGAAATCAAGTTTCACTGTGTTAGCCAAAATGGTCTCAATCTCTTGACCTCGTGATCTGCTCCCCCTCGGCCTCCCAGAATACCAGGATTACAGATGTGAGCCACTGTGCCCAGCCTCAAGTGGACCTCTTGAATCATCCTCCCAAGTAGTTGGGACTACCTGGGCTTGCCACCACACTTGGCTAAGTTTTTAATTTTTTGTACAGATGTGGTCTCTGTTGCTCAGGAAGGTCTGAACTCCTGAGCTCAAGCGATTCCACAGGTATGACCCACCTTCTCCTGCTGACCCATTTCAAAGATAGTTGACATGTCAAGGTATAGTGGGCCACAGTCTCAGCTACTGCCGATGCTGGAGTGGGAGGGTGCTTTGATTTCCAGACTGCAACATGCACTGATCACACCCTGTTTAGTTTTTGGTTTTGAGACACAGCCTCACTTTGTTGCACAGCCAGGAGTGCAGTGGC